GGAAAGAGAGAAAGAGAAAGAACTATTTGGTAACATTTCGTTTTAGCTTGTGAAGAGAGAGAGAAGGCTTCTAAAAGACAAAGCGAACGCGCGCATCGAAAGTGGCCAAAGCAAGAATTGCGCCGCTGAGATTTACGAAGTACAAGTCAGAAGGGAAGAGAGCTCCTTCGACCGACAGTCGACCATCGGTCGTAACTGCACGTCGTCTAACGTGTCTTAACACGATAAGGATAGACAGGGAGCCCACTTAAATGCCTCGAACGAATTCTTACTCCATGTTGTGCGTTGGTTGCGACACGACTGCGTGTTGGAAAGTGAGTAATATCACGTTTCCCCCGATCACGCCTCTTCCATTCGGATTTTATTGCTCCGAGCACAAAAATCGGACGATTATGACAATGCGTTAAAAATTCCAGCTCCCTAATCCATTTTCCTTTTCCCTCTTCCTTTTTCCTTTTCTCTGTTAATTGTTTGCTTTTCATTGCCCGATTTCTTGATTTTATTTGCCCTTGGAGGAATTTCTCTTTCTCTTTCTCTCTTGCTCTCTCTCCTTCTCTCTCAAGCACGAAACTGTTCTACACGAGGGAACGGCCCTTGTCTCAAGATATCGTTGCTGTTCTGCTGCTGCTGACGATTTCTCTATTCTATGTATAGACATCGTTGTGTACGCGCGTGTGTGCAAGTGAAAATTCGACATGAAAATTCGTGTGTCTGGTTCTTTCAAGATAGCACGGATGTGGTTGATGGTGTTTCTCGTTTAATGTAATGTGTCTATTATGGTGTAAATGTCACTCCGTTTTCTCACCTTTTAAAAACTATCACCGAAACCCACCGCGTTAAACACAATTTTTATTAGCTAAGTAATTTGTGGTGAATTGCGTTTCATTGAGGATAGTCTTTGTGTAAAAGTTTCCTAAAATCAAACGTTTGTGCTTTGTCATCGTTGGACAAATTTGTAGTAACAAAAGTTATTTTATGTATAATTATCTTTCCCCTTTTTAATGCAGGGATTTAGATTATTTATTGACTTTTCATGTGTATTAAATTTAAGATTGCATGTGGATAGTATTATGAAGACAAAGAAATGCTAAATAGAGCTGCTTTTAATAGGTGAATGTATGGTGACACGCGGTCGTGAAGGAGCAACTGGAGAGTGAGCTGTGGCAAGAGAAGCTTAATTATCTCCCATTTAGTTGATTGTAACTTGCTCGATATTGTTTCGAGTAATTGCAAATAGGATAAAACTAAGAACTTGTTCAGTCATCGAGGTTTCATTGGCATAAACAAAGAAGATGGAGCGAGAATCTAATCCAATGCAAGCTCTGTGCCGTAGCGGCTGTGGATTTTATGGTTCCCCAGCCACAGATGGCCTTTGTTCTCTTTGTTACAAAGAAAACCTAAAAAAGAAGCAGCAACCTCCTGTGTCAGCTGCCACTGTACCAACATCACAGACCGTCTCTGGTAACGCTGGCACGTTGCAAGGCGGTTTTGGTAGTCCTGCCGCTACAGGAACTACAGCCCAACCTACCATTCCTACCATACCTCAATCAACGACAGATCTGCCCAACCCCAAAGAAGTAAGTTTCACTTAAATTATACTTATACACCATGTATTTAAATTATCCAAATCTTAGTATGTAACTTTAGTATCTTACATTAAAGTATACACATTGAAGAAGGAAAATTAATAGTTTGGCTACATTTGAAAGTGTTTGATATAAAATTTTAAGATGAATTACAAATAGTAAATTGTTAAATAATTATAAATTAATTACAAATTTTTTATTTTTATTATACGCCAGATAAATAGGGAAGATCAAGAAAGTGAAGTAGGTGTAAGCAGTGGAGCGGTAGCAGAAGGATCTGTGAGTAGTGGAGATGCAGATGATTGCTTCGATGGCAAAGAGACTGACAAAGAATCTAAGAAGAAGAAAAATCGTTGCGCCGTGTGTCGCAAAAAAGTTGGTTTGACGGGTAAGTAAATCATAAACTGAGAAACATTTTTGATCCTTTTGAATAATTTATAATCTGGTATCTCATTCTTTATTACAGGATTTGAATGTCGTTGTGGAGGACTGTTCTGCTCTGTGCATCGATACAGTGACAAGCACGATTGCAAGTTCGATTACAAAGAAATGGGCGCTCAAGAAATTCGGCGCAACAATCCAGTTGTTGTTGGTGAAAAAGTGCAAAAAATTTGAACTATTTAGTGCGTAGATCGTTGGGAAAATGGTTATATAACTATATAAACAAAACAGAATATAAAACAAAAAAACGGAGAAAAACGAGATAAATTATCTGGCAGCTGATTGCACGTCGAGGGGCGAGAAGGATGAATGCGAGAATCGTGAACGAAAGAACTGGAAATTAGAATGATGAAAGGGCGAGAGTGAGCGAGAGAAAGAAATAGTAGTGTGTTAGTGCAAATAAGAATGAAAGCATGAGCTTATGTGATGATGGAGAGGCAAAATAGGAGAGAATGAAAATTTGAAAAAAAAAAAAAAAAAAAAAAAAATTGTTTTGTACACGATACGCAAATATAACATAAAGAAATGTCGAAAATAAGACGAAATTTTTCAAGGGAAGAATGAAACACAACTAGGAAAGAAAGACTAACGTGGAAAACAATGAAACAGAAATTAGAATGCGTGCCACGAGTACGAATGTTTTGAGAAAATTTTTGGGTGTCAGTGCCATGTCAGATTGTCATCTAAGCGAGAGTTTTAATCAAGAACATATTTGGTTCTAACTGCTGCCAGCTTACTACTACTATTACCTTATTATTATCTATTACGGTTTATTATTATTATTCTATCTTATGTTTATTAATTTACTTAAAAAAAGAAATGCAAAATTCGTGTACGGAAGTGTTTGTTTTTTTCTCTCTTTTTTTTTAATTTTAGAAGAGAAGAATGCAAATTGAGAATTCTTTGAGAGAGAGAGAGAGAGAGAGAGAGAGAGAGAGAGAGAGAGAGAGAGAGAGAGAGAGAGAGAGGGAGAGAGAGAGAGAGAGAGAGAAAAAAAAAGAAGAAGACACATGAGCTAGTCAGACGCGAGAAACTTTGGTCGTCGATTAGCCAAGAGAGCAGCCCAACTCTCGAACGAAACTCAAGAGGCAAACCAGGGTGAGATACACGTCTGGTTTGGCGTGGAAGCGCGCGAGTTGGAGCATGATCGATCCAAAAGGCGATCGATTTCTTCGCGCTTCACGGTACACAGAATACGCTATTAAAAGAATGCCTTCCTACGACCCGTGACGGATAAACACGCCGGTTGGAAAATAGAAAGGGCAAAAAACTGAAAGGGAAAAGATGGATGTATCGCGAGCGGATCGATCCACGCTTCGTGATTCGCTTTCGGTCTCTTTGGCCGTAACCAACCGACCAACGAGTACACACGGTCGATGCTTAAACCGTGTGGTTAGGGTAACGAGGATACCATCGACGATGCGTGATCGATCAGCGGCGCGAGCATCGAGAATGGTGAAAATCAAAAGCACCCCTCGAAATCGGAGAAAGGTGAAGTGAAAGAGAGTGGGGGGGGGGGG